ATAACATCCTTGTGCTTAGGATCCTGACACAGTGACCAAGTGTTGTTTTTGAGAAGAGCCTCAAATTCTTTGTTCATAGCTTCTTTTCATTCTTTGGATTCAAAAGCCTGATCAATATTTCTTGGTTCACTCTGAAATCTTCTATCTTCTTTGGTGACCTCCTCATGATACACTTTGGGTTTATGAATCCCTGCCTTAGACCTGGTGACCATAGGATGAGCATTTTCCTGCACTGAATCATGAAACTTATCCATAGATACAGATTTAGTTAGATTCTCTTCATTTCTTTCAATTGGTAAATCTATAAAGAGCTCACCTATTGGTATAGATGAATGTTGGGGAGAATTGAGACTGAGTGGTTGGTGTGTGATCTGAGTTTGGCTGGGGTAAGGTGGGAGGTTGTTTAGGAAAGAAAAATGGTTGTATGAGATTTTGAGGCACCATTTGAATAATAGGTTCCTTGTTTGTTTCAGAGCCAGTTCTCTTTTGGTTTGGAAAGAAGTTCTCATCAAAACTAATGTGTCTAGTGATAATAATTTTACCACTAGGTAGCATGGCTTCATATCCCTTGTATTGCTGACTGTAGCCAAGAAATGTTGAAGGTTGAGTTCTGGGTTCTAATTTGTGTTTGTTATAAGGCCTCAAGTAAGGGAAACATAAACAACCAAAGACTTTGAGGGAAGAATAGTCTGGTTTCTTACCTGTCAGCAGCTCCAATGGTGACTTGTAACCAAGTATCTTAGATGGTAATCTGTTTATAATGAAGCTAGCTGTGAAAAGGCATCATCCCAATGTTTATAAGCAAGGTGAGATTGGGACAAAAGGGATAAACCCATCTCCACGTGACTATGCTTTCTTTCAATTAGACCATTTTGTTGGGGTGTGCATGGGCAAGATATTATGTGAAATATACCATTTTTCAAGAAATAATCAGAAAGGGCTTTGTATTCAGTCCCCCCATCACTTTGAACACTCTTTATTTTTCTGTTAAATTGGTTCTCAACAAGGCTTTTGAAATGAATGAAGGCATTGTAGGTGTCTGATTTAGCTTTGAGAAGGTAAAGCCATGAATATCTGGTTTTGTGATCTATGAAGTTCACATAATAATGAAAGCCATTGTGAGACTTAATAGGTGCAGGACCCCATAGGTCAGTGTGTATGAGATCAAGAGTTTCATAGTGATCATTGGCAGAGATAGGGAAAGTTAATTTATGGATTTTTCCTTGCAAGCAAAATTCACAAAGTCTTTTATTCTCATTGAATTCAAAATGAAGATTACCATCAGACAAGGCTCTTTTAATTATATCAAAAGGAGATTGGCCTAGTCTAGAATGCCAAATGGCTACATCTTCATTAACTCTCCTAACACTATTGATGGAAACATCATGAGAAAGATTCTTGGTAATACTGAAGTCACCACTGCTCTGGACATGTTGAAAGTGTAAAGACCGTCCCTTAACTCTCCCTCTTAATAGGGTTAATCCTGAAGTTTGATCCTTCACAAGACAACAATCTGAGTGAAACTCAAAATAAACATTATTATCAAGAGCAAATTGAGAGACACTCATGAGGTTCTTGGTTATTTCAGGCACAAAGAACAAATTTTTAAGTATGAAATGTGGGGATTGGTGCTCTTTTGAGCTCAAAACAGAATTACCAATATGAGAAATGTTGAGATTCTTACCATTGCCAACCTGCACTTTCTCATTTCCTTGATATTCAAAGGCTAGATTCAAGTTTGAGAGGTCATAGGTGACATGGCTGCTTGCACCAGAATCTGGATACCAACTGTTGTCCTCAGAGGGTTTATATGAGGGAGATGGTATAATGGTTGTGGCATGAACTGTAGGATTCTTGTTCCTTCCTGCTTGACCTTGATTGTTGTTGGTATTTCCTCCATTTCCAATGTGTGGAACAAAAGATTGGTCAAATCTGTGCCAACATTTATCAGCAGTATGGCCAGTGTAGAAGCACACTTGGCATCTTGGTTTACCTCTACTCCTTCCTCGGCCTGAGTTGGTTCTACCTCCTCTTGGCCCATTTCTTCCTCTTGCTCATTGGAATTGCCTCTTCCTCTTCCATGTGTCTCAGTGTAATTGATGCTGGGATTGGATCCATCAAAACTGTACTGTGTTTGGTCTGAGATGACAGACTTAATTCTTGTCTCAAAGGTGAGAAGAAGAGATTGAACTTCTCTGAGGTTGATGGCTTCTGATTTAGCCATGATAGACACCATGACTGGGTTGTACTCATGACCAAGACCTGCTAGAACATGCATGATCTGTTCTTCTTCAGTCATCTTTTGCCTAGCAGCTGCAAGGACACCACAACAGGATTTAACTTGGTTGAGATAGTCTCTCATGGTTGAGCCTCCTTTCTTCATGGTTTGCAGTTTAAGCTTGTACCGCATAACCTTTACCTTTGACTGGTTGGAGAAGCCTATGTTGAGTGCATCCTAAATCTCTTTAGATGTGGTAAGACCAACTGTGGTGATGAGTATAGGCTCAGACAGTGATGAAAGGAGAAATGATGCCAAGATTTGATCTTGTCTCACCCAAAGAGCATGGTCTGGGTTGGTTATTGATTCACTGGCCTCTCCCTACAGATATTCATCTGGGATTTTCTGATTGGCTGAGATGAACTGAAACAAACCATATCCTTTAATGGCTGCAAGAACTTGTTGATGCCAAACCAGATAATTATTCTCATTGAGTTTGGAAGAAATGAGGGTGCTCTGTGGGAAAACGAGCTGATTTTGCTCTGAGGAAGGGGATGAAATCGATGATGAAGACATTATGAAAGGATATAAAAAGGAAATAGGGGTATAAAGCTTCCAGGATTAGTCTGGAGCTCTGATACCATAAAAGGATTTTGAATGAAACATATTGAAGTACTCAAGACAATTCAGTTGCCAAAATATGTAAGCTGTTATTAATTTGCAATTTTTCTTAAGAAGATGATTACAGAATGATGGTTTGTCCCTTATATACAAACCATAGGAATAATCTAGAATAAGGACACCTAGACTAGGTAAATACTGAATTCAAAATGTGAGATTTACCCTCTAAGGGGTAAAAGGACAAATATTTCCTTTCAAGGATGATGAGCCCGTTATGCCATTTTGTCCTCATGCATGGAGCTATGCAACACGCTTGAGCTGCTCCCTTGTCTGACATCATCATGCTGAGTGTGCTCTGCTTGGCCAACACGTGGATGATGACATATAGGATGACTGTGAAGGTGGGGCAGGTTCTTTAGAACTCTTTTGGATACATTGGGTCATTATATTGTTTAGCCAAATTAAGTGATCAAATTATTGTACATTGGCTAAGGAATTTAATTTAGATTGTGGAAAGATTAAATGTGGACACCTGATAATATTATTATTTGATGGCATAACAAATAATAATCTTAAACTTAAGGACCTAATTAGCAAGTAATTTGGGTCAAAATAATTAATGGGTGGAGTCCTTAAAGCCCCGAAAATACAAAAGGGACCATTGGAATTCTTTATTAAGGTATAAGAAAAGAAACCGTCCCACATAACTCTTCAATCAATTATTATCTTCCCTACCTCAGAAGAGAAGAGTATTCAGTTCACGGCCTTTTGGAAAATCTCAAATTCAATCTTGAATCACTACAAGAATAATCATTTTTAGTGACGATAATTTTTGTCGCTATGTCGTCAGAAAAAATACCGTCGCTAATAATGTCCTAATATTGTCGCTATATGTTCGAATGTCGACACAATAATACCTCTTATTGTGACGGTATTTTTTGTGACGACATAGCGACAAAAATTATCGTCACTAAAAGTGATTATTCTTGTAGTGAATTCTAAAGTAATCAATCAACACGAATCAATCAGGTAAGCTTTCGTTATTCAATTTTGATTCTCGATTATTCGATATAAACGCTCTTGGGATTAAGCGATTTTTCGTTTCTTTCTCTCGCAACGTTTTCTTAAATTTAAAATCAATAAGTTCATATGTGTGTACATGAGTAGAAGTATGGACCGTAAACCTAATTTGAGGTCATGGTATGGGGACCAAAAAATAGTCGTGACAACATATATACTTACGTTTAGTTTTGTAGCCAATTATATTCCAACCACTTTTCTATACAAATGAGTTAGGCTTCGGATATCATAAATGCGCCCTCTTTATTCCTGTAAAAATTAGTTGCTGTCCGTTTATATATGCATTAACTCACCCATACAAGAAATTTACGTGAACGGTAACCAACCAAGAAAAGAAAGCGGATAAAATATTACTAGCTCGAATCGGGCCGGGACACCCTATTTAAATAATAGTAGCATGGAAATTTTTCCTCTTCTATCTTTGTGTCGGTTTTAATGTCGCCCTTGCATGTATTTTCTTTCACCAAATGAAAACAACACGCCTTTATATGGTGATTGATAGTATCTAGCAAACAAATTAGGAATAGATTGTAATTTCAATCATAAAAGATTAAAATAAAGCGAAATAATGCCACATAAAGATGAAAAGATAATCATACATATTAGTATTTATTTATTTAGGCAGACAGTAGACATAGAATCAGTCCACTTATTCAATTCAACATCAGAAATCTACATTCATACGCTTCCTTATAATAATAATATGTGGAGTTAATTAAAGATGCATGCATTATTATGTTTATGTAGAAGCAAAATCTTAATGGGTTTCCTCACGTCAACACAGCTGAAAGTGAAGATTATAGTTAGGAAAGTCACGGTGTTGCGACTTGAGTTGTTGGGCGTTGAGAGTTCGCCATTAGTGTATTTAAAGACCCTCATATGTCACATGTCCAACTTGACACCCTTTCCAAATTGCAAACTCTCTTTATTCCTTTAAAAATCAATTTCTCACACATATATATTCATACATATGTATATATATATATGTAACCTTTCATTTTATTTCTTCCCCTCCTCACCCCCATTTGCCCTTGCCATCCCTTTTTATCTTCCCTTCAAAAAATCCCATAAAAAAAAAAACATGTATGTAATATTTCACTTGACATATTGCCTCTATCTCCTCCTCCCACTCCTCCCCCTCTTGTACATCCTATACGAGCGGCGGCGCCACCAGCATTGCTACCTCTTGGACTACGAGTGCTACATGCCGACCCCCGACCGCAAGCTGAGCACCAAACTCTCCGGTGAAATCATCCGCCGCAACAAGCACCTCGGCCTCCACGAGTACAAGTTCCTCCTCAAGGCCATCGTGAGCTCCGGCATCGGCGAGGAGACCTACGCCCCTCGCATGGTCCTCGAAGGCCGCGAGTCCTCCCCCACCCTCCCCGACGGCCTCCTCGAGATGGACGACTTCTTCTCCACTTCCATCTCCGCCCTCTTCTCCCGAACCCGAATCCACCCCTCCGAGATCGACGTCCTCGTCGTCAACATCTCCATGCTCGCCACCCTCCCTTCCCTCGCCTCCCGCATCATAAACATGTACAAGTTACGCGACGACGTCAAGGTCTACAACCTCACGGGGATGGGCTGCAGCGCCAGCCTCGTCTCCGTAAACATACTCCAGAAATGCTTCAAATCGCCAACGCGCCGGCGCACGCGCGCGCTCATGGTCACGTCGGAGTCCCTCAGCCTCGGCTGGTACAACGGCAACGACCGCTCCATGATCCTCGCCAACTGCCTCTTCCGCGCTGGCGGCTGCGCGGCCATCTTCACCAACGACCCGTCCCTCCGCAGCCGCGCCATGATGAGGTTAAAACACCTCGTGCGCACCCACCACGGCGCCAACGACGAGTCGTACAGCTGTTGTATCCAGAAAGAGGACGAGCGCGGGCACGTCGGGTTCCATCTCGGGAAGAATCTCCCCAAGGCCGCCACGCGGGCGTTCGTCGAGAATCTCAAAGTGATGGCACCCAAGATACTTCCCTTGCGGGAACTCGCGCGCTTTGCCGCCGTGGCAATGCTGAGGGTTGGTAGGCCCAAGATTAATTTCAAGTCCGGAGTGGATCATTTTTGTCTGCATACGGGCGGGAAGGCGGTGATAGATGCGATTGGCCAGAATCTGGGGCTCACCGAGTATGACGTGGAGCCCGCGAGGATGACGTTGCATAGGTTTGGGAACACGTCGGCTAGTAGCTTGTGGTATGTATTGGGGTATATGGAGGCGAAGAGGAGGCTGAGGAAAGGGGATAAGGTTTTTATGATAAGTTTTGGGGCGGGTTTTAAGTGTAACAGCTGTTTGTGGGAGGTGATGAGGGATTTGGAAGGGGAAGGGAATGTGTGGGGGGATTTTATAGATAGGTATCCGGTTAAGAATCTGGCTAACCCGTTTTTGGACAAGTACGGGTGGATACAGGACGAGGATCCGGATNGGTGGGGATGGACATATTCATTTCTACTGCATGTGTTTTGATGATTCTGTTCATGATTTGTCATCACTTTTCCTTTTGCTGTAATTTGGGTATAATCTTGTATTCTACTTTGCGAATACACGGCAGCAGGTGTATTATACTTGAAAGGATATTTGATTTATACGACATAATGAATGATTCTATTTTTCATGGTGTAAGTAAGACTGCAAGGTTAAACTTAATTGGGTCTGCTTTTGATACATGACGATTATATTGATGCCCAGTTGGAGAGATACTTTTGTTTAGAGACTGTAATTTGTATCCTAATGGAAGTGTAATATTGAGAAGCTCTTTTTCTCTTTGATCATGTTCATCGTACGTCTTCATTATAAGATTCATTCATAATTTGAAAGCATATTGATTTTAGAAGAGGTAGGTTAGAGAGCAAGCAGCGTAGTTTGTTGGGTTGCATTTATGGTGGAGGCCCCAACCATTAATGCACGTAAAAAGAGTGGCCAACGGGCAAGGGAACAACTGTGAAGCAGCTATGGCTGGCCCCTTTTGCTATAAAGATGATTGCTATAAGCAACAATTGCTCCATGTGTGACATTTAAAGTATCGGACAGGGACATTTTACACTAAACTATGCTATTATACATTTTAATCTGGTAATGAGAGATGCGCCATATCAGGAATTAGATTGATTATAGGAAAAAGCTAGAGTTCCGTTACACTACACTAATCTACATAGCATATAACAGTTAAAAATCTCAATAAAACTGTAGTTTTTTACCCTTGTTTATATAAATATCTCTATATATATTAGAAAGTTATGGGCCCTGCAAGCACAACCAGACCGTGCTATTTTTTTTAAATATTGG